GCTCTTAGCCCTTTCCTGTGGCTGAGTCCAGGGAGGAGGGAGGCACTTGCGGTCGCTTGGGTTCAGCAGGTTGGGTCCCGGCCCCAGCCCCGTGCCCCGTGCCCAGCTGCATGGACACATCCCTTGTTCTCCCAAGCTGGTTTCCACACTGGAGGAGAGCTAAGAGCTTCCATTCTGACAGTGAGTGAGCCTGTGACTCAGGAGGGCCCTACCCTAGGGCATTTCATAATCTAGGCGACGGTGGAGACAGCTGAGCTGACACCTTTGGGCCTCCGGGCAGACTCTGCTCAGAAGGGCCCCCTCCCACCTTCCTGGCTCCACAGCTGCTGATGCTTGGAGATCCCCATGGGAAAGTCAGCCAGCCGCCTTAGGAAACCAGCTGCCAGGCAGCTCCCTTCCCAGGCCAGAGCGGGGAGGAGGGGCAGACACCTGCTTTGGGGTCCATCGGACCTGGGTTCGAATCCAAGCCCTAGCGCTCCCTAGATGTGTTCTCTGGGGCAAGTCACTTCACTTTCCTCATCTTCGGAATGAATGGAAATACCCGCACGCAGTGGGCAGGCAGATCTCTGCGGGCTCTTCCAAGTCTGTGCCCCACCCCTCCCCACCTCCTCTGGGCCCTTCCACTCCACGCTGCCCACTGGGGACAACGGGCCAACTGCTAGGCAACCGGGCCCCACAGCAACTCCCTCCTGCCTCCCACCCAGGGCTCCAAGGAGAGGCCTCATTCTGTTTCCCCAGGGCCCAGGGACCTATGCAGCCAGGGGCGAGGCTCTGCTTGGCACAGCGGTGGGGCTCTGGTCTGGAAACAGGCTGCTGGGGCTACGTCGTCAGCCTGCGCCTTGACTATGGCAGCTTTGAATCCGGGTGGCAAGGCCACCCCCACGCGGTGCTCTTTCTTGCTTCAAGGGCTTGGGTCTCCCCAACATCTGTACAGGCAGCCTCCCTGTCTGGAAGCCATGCTCCTCCCCAGACAAGCTCCTAAGGGAACCCTCCAGTTCAGGCCAAAAACAACTGCACTGTCAGGGCCCTGATGCATCCACCCAGCGGTGGCCAGAACACCTCGCAATGATCACCCACCCCCGCGGATGCAGGGTGCTTGGAGATCCCAGCATCAGTCCGTGGAGCCTGCTTTCCCCTGAGGCGGGGAAGGTGGGGGGACTAAGGGGGTGTGACCAGCGGTGGGGGGCTACAGAGTCAAGTGCGACCTGAGAGAGAGAAAGTGGGCAAAGAGAGACCCCGCCCCGCGTGGAGACGGCGTAAGAGGCGGAAGTGCCCCAAACATCAGATGATGAAGTGGGGCGGAGGGGAACCATCAGGGGAGACTGAACTTCAAAGATTATGGGCAGAACCGGCCCCTGGGCCTCCAGCCAACTCCGGGCAATTACGAAGACGGGCGAGCACTGCCCACGCAGGGAGGGCACTCAGAGCTGGGCCTGAAGCTCAGTGTGAGGCGGAGGGAGACGTAGCATTTGGGCGCAGAGACCCCAGGACCTGAGTACGCCGACTGAGAGGTGGGGCCGACCCCGCGGCCTGGGGGTGGCACCTCGGTGGGTCCTCACTGGGCCCCAGCCCGGGGCCTAGAGCTGGGGGTCTGGCTCGGCGGGCAGCTGGGCGCCGAGCTCGGGGAAGCTCGAGGCGCCCCTGACGGAGAAACGGGTGCGAGGGGCCCCGAAACGCTGGGGAGGTGGGCCGGGCCGAGCGCCAGGTGGCAGGCACATGCCGGCAGGGTTGGGGGCCGGGGCGGGGGCCGGCTTACCCAGCATTAGCAGCAGCAGGAGCAGCAGCAGCGGGAGCCGCGGCGAGAGACCGAGGGCGCCCATCCTGCGCGGCCGGCTTTGGGGAGGCTCCGGGGGTCGGCGCGGGCTCTGAGTGGACGGGGGCTCGGGGGCGCATGCCCGGGTAGGGGGCACGAAGCGGAGCAGCGAGGCGCGGGTGCACGCAACGGAGCCGAGCGGCGCGGGCGCTTCCAAGTCCCCTCCCTCCCCCTTCCTCTTCCTACCGCTTTCCCTCCTTCCGCGGAGACCATTCCCGCCCCGCCCCAAGCCCCGCCCCGCCCCGCCCCAAGCCCCGCCCCGCCCCCGCCTGCTCCTGGCCCCGCCCCGGAGCCCGGGCTCCACCCCGCCCCTAGCCCCGCCCCGCCCCGCCCCGATCTCGGTCCCAGCCCCACCCCAACCCCTCATCCCGAACTCTCCCAGACCACGGACCCTGGACCCGTCCCGTCTCCGCTCCGTACCCGGACCCTGGACCCCCTCAGACCCCGGACCCCGGACCCGCTCAGAGCCTCCCAGACCCCGGTCCCAGAACTAACCTGACTTCTGACCCCGGCCCCGCTCCGCCCTTCTCGGTCCGGGCTCCGCCCCAGCCCCGACTTCAGCCCCGCCCCGACGCCGGGACCCGGGCCCGACCCGCCTACCTGGGTCCGGGCTCCGCCCCGACCCCCGGCCGGCACCAGGGGGCGGCACTTGGACTCAGCCAAATCCCTACCCCGCATCGTCCCACCGCCCCGCACCTTCCGGCCTTTCCCTGAGAGTTGGGTGAGGGGGCCTTGGGGTCAGTCAGGTGACTGGCCACGCACTTAGGATCCAATCACTTGCCGTGGGCCGTTAGGCCTCGCTGCAAACCCCGCTCTAGTGAGGATGGGCGGGACCCAGAAGTTCCGGAATGCGGAGGGCCGGGGCTGAAGGGCGCAGCGAGGCCTCACAAGGTCGCGGGAGACCTGTTTGCCACCCCCTCGGGGCAGAACCAGAGGGAGTGCGTTAGGAGGGTGCGCCGTCTGGGCGCCATCTCTTCCTGGTTGGGGATCCCGTCCAGTTGGTTAACGTCCCTCAACCTGTTTCCCTGGTGGCACACTGGACTGAGACGACATCCACCCCAAGGCGCTTCTGTGACGATTAATTGACATAATGTACACGAGGTTCTTGGCACAGATGACACGGAATAGGAGATAGGGTGTTTATGGGGTTTAGTTTTCGTTTCTGAATGATTATTTAAACCGCTTCCTGAGAGAGGTTTTGCTTAGCGTTTATAGGAGCAGCGAGGCGATTGCATGAAGGAGTCTGTCTCCAGTGAGGAGAGCTGGACTCGGCTGGCACTGGGAACGGTGGGGCCTGCCCAGGAGGCGGGAGGATGGGAAGAGGGTCTCTTCCCAGCCACGGAGCAGGTGGGGCGTGGGCAGGTGCAGGAAGGATGGGGCCAGGTAGGAGAAGGGACAGCCAGGTCTGCAAAGCTTAGGCTGTCAAAGGAGCCGGCCCTGGGAAGTGACCCCACAGCCCATGCCCCTCCCAGTCCCCACGCCCTCCCAGTCCTTTGACAGAGGAGGAAACTGAGGCCCCAAGAGGGGAAGTGACAGAGGTCAGACCAGATCTTCCCTGGATACAGTCAGTGCCTGGCTCAGAGGAGGTGCTCAGTTGAAGCCACATTCAGAGATCAGAGAAACTCTTTAGCAGAATGCGGATCTCAGCAAGGGACAGCCCTCCCTCCCAAGACTTCCAGGACTGGCCCAGGTGCCTGTTTCCTCCCACTCTGAGATATTCACAGCCTGATTTCTCCAGATCCATTTCACCTAAATGCATCCATGCGTGGTTCTGGGCTATGTGAAAACGGAAAGGCATAGGGAAGCTTTAAAGGGAAACCGCTCTCCCTTTTGGGGGGAGCAGAGTGCACTTGCTCTGCCTTCCTGATGCTTGAGAGCTGGGAGACGTTGCCCATCCGATCGTCCCAATGCCGTTTATGGGATGTCTACACAGTAGGCCCCTCCGGGTATCGTTTCTAGTCTTGACAGCATATTTTGCCAGATGGTGTCATTTAACAGATGAGAAACTGGAGGTTCAGAGAGGTTAAGCGTCTTCGCCAAGGCCACACAGCTTTTAAGTGGCCAGTGTCTGATGAGCTCAGGCCTGTCTGTCCCCAGAGCCCCAAATCTTCCCACATCCCACTGTCTCCCTTCTCAAGCTTCTGCACCCTATAAACTTAGTTAGTCAACAAACACTGACTAGGCCAGGCCTGGTACTGGGCACCGGAGATGCTGTGACAAGCGTGGCAGACCCGGTCGCCTGCCTTCAGGGAACATACGGTCGTGCCAGGGAGGCAGGCCATAAGCAAGTAATAGCCCACCCCCAATGTGAGCGTTATGAGAGGGGACACTCGGGTTGCTGAGAACATCCTATGGCTTGGGGCTGGGAGGGAGCCGGCGCAGGTAGATGCTGAGGGCAGGACTGCTGTTCCGGGGGGGGGGGGGGGGGCGGCGGGGGCTGAAGCCAGAACCAGTTTCTTCCACGAGCCCCTCCCTGGACCGGGAGTTCCGGAGGCTGCCAGCAGGGGGCGCCCAGGGCCCAGGCCCGAGTCCCGCTTATGTAACCGGCAGCGCTGAGGGGGAGGAGAGCAGGCCCGGCACCGGCACCGGGGCGCGTCGCGCAGCAGACGGACGCCCGCACCCGCCAAAACACAGAGCAGCTTCGTACCGAGGCAGACGTCACTCACACGCCGCGACAGAGCGACGCACAGACACATGCACACAACACAGGCCCCCGCGCTGCGGGGGAGGGACACACCCTGTAGACGGGAGAGGGCCCCTGTACCCTCCTCGGGTGGCCCCTAAAAAGCCACACGGGCCCACCTGGCGCCTTGGCTGATGCTTGTGGAGCTGTGAGCGGAGAAAGGAGGAAGGGGACCTGGGATTGCAGAGAGAGACGGGGGAGGGGTGCACCGGTGGGCGTGGAGGGGGCCCTCATCCCTGTGGCACCACCTGCTGCCCACGAACCCCACGAACAAGGGGTTGCACTGAGTGTCGTCAGAAAATAGTTAAGATCTGTGATCTGCCTTAAAACGACTTCTAATCTGGGGGCGCCTGGGTGGCTCAGTCCATTAAAGGTCGGACTCTGGCCCAGGTCACCATCTCATAGCTCGTGCCTTCGAGCCCCTGGTGTCGGGCTCTGTGCGGACAGCTCGGAGCCTGGAGGAGCCTGCTTCGGATTCTGCGTCTTCCTCTCGCTCTGCCCCTTTCCTGTTCATGCTCTGCCTCTCAAAAATACATAAACGTTAAAACATTTCTTTTTACAGACGACTTCTAATCCGACGGAGGTGTCACACATTATGGGCACAACTACGAAGACGTGGTTTTCTGAGAGGCATGCTCAAAGACTGGACGGTTAACGTGTCTTGACCTGTGCCAGGCGCGTGATTTAATCTCACTTAGTCCTGGCCAGAACCTTGGCAGGTTAGTGCTATTATTATCCCTGGGAGGAAACTGAGGCGGACAGAAGTGCAGGAACACATCCAAGGTAAATGGATTGGTTACTGTCCAAACACAGGTTTGAGCCTAGGATTGTTTGAAGTGTGGAAGAGCCTGGGCATCTGACCCCCCATGACGTGACTTCTTGAAGGCAAACGTGGACCCAGCACTCGCAAGCACAGACCCAGCTGTGGACCCAGGCAGCGCCTTGAAGACGTGACAAATGCATCAAAGACACAGAGACACATTCCCGGCAGACGTCAGACACAGGGAACGCCACACACACACACACACACTCACACACACACACTCGCGCACACGCGTAGTCCTTAGCTCACACACACACTCTCTCTCTCTCTCATGTGTACAAATCCCAGCTCGGTGGAGCTAAGGGTCACACAGAGGAATGTCCTATGATCTATGTGTGTTTATAAGGCCGTGACCGTACCGCCTGATGAGCCATATTTTCCCACCCTCCAAAAGGGGAAACCTCTCTCTGCCGACTTGCTGGAGAGGCTCAGGCAAAGAGACAAGACAGAGCTAGAGCCAAAACGCCCCTTCGCCCCAGCTCGCACCGAAACGAGAGGCTTCCACGCCGGGACCCAGGTGCACACCCGCAAAACCGGAGTCATCTCCCGCACCCACGCACATGCCTACTGGACCCTCTCCCTCCTTCCTCCCCAGCCAGGCACCCCGCCCTCATGAGGGACTCCTGCACTAGCCTGTGTGTGTGTGTCTGTTCTCTGAACCTTCCTCTTGTCCTGGCTGAGCCCACACTCCTTCCCCAGCTCTCAAACCCTATGCCAAAGGTGTAGACAGCTGTTCAAGAACAGAGGGGCCCCAGTGCCACTGCTGGCCTCAGCATGACCTGGCCCTGGCTCCCAGGGAGGCCCTGCCATTTCTATACCCAGGATTAGCGCCAGCTGCCACCCACTCCCGAATGCCAAGGATGGATCCCTTTGAGCTGGAATCCCCTCGCCCGCCCTCCCTGGCTCCCCAGTCCGGGAGTGCTGGTTGCCTGGGCTCCTCCCCCTCCACGGAGGCTCCCCGACTCCCTCTCCCCCTCGCCCAGCCAGCTGATGGCGCAGACATCCCGGTGGAGGGTAGCCCAGAGCTGAGGCAGCCCCCGCAATGTGTCGCTCTCGTTCCCCAGCCCAGCAGCCTGGGGGTGGTGGAGTGGGGAGCGGATCAAGGGCAGAAGAAGGCAGCGGTTTGCTAGACAGAGATTTGTGGGCTGCGTCTTCTAGATGAGCCTCAGGGGACAGGAGGTGGTGAGCGCCAGGTGGCTGCCTCTGAGTCATTGAGGTTGAGCAAGGGACAGATTTGGAGAACAGGTCATTGATGAGTTTGTGCACACCCAGCTCTGAGCGAGATGGGGAGGAGGCAGCAGTTGTTGCTAGTACTTCCCGTGCACCTGCTTTGTGCGGAGCTCCCCGCTAAGCACCCTGGGCTCACTCAGTCCTCCGGTCAGTCCTCCCAGCACCCCGCAGGGCGAGCGCTCTCGTGGCCTGTTTTGCAGATGGGAGAGGAGGCCCCGAGAGGTTATGTAAGTGACCCAAGGTCACCTAGCTACATGGCAGCACTGAGATCCAACTGTAAGCTTTTTGACTCTGGAACATTCTTCTCCCTCCTGCTTCCCTAACCTGCACACTTATTCATATTACACACAAGCATCAGTGCATACGTACTGTATAGGCACGCCTCTACAACCTTTTGAAATAGCTTTTCGGGGCGTCTGGGGGGGCTGCGTCGGTTAAGCGTCCGACTTCAACTCAGGTCATGATCTAATGGTTTGTGAGTTCGAGCCCCGCATCGGGCTCTGTGCCGACAGCTCGGAGCCTGGAGCCTGCTTGGGATTCTGTGTCTCCCTCTCTCTCTGCCCCTCCCCCTGCTTGCGCTCGCATGCGCGCGTGCTCTCTCTCTCTCTCTCTCTCTCTCTCTCTCAAAAAATAAATAAATAAACATTTGAAATAGCTTTTCCACCAGTGCAATCCCCAGCTCTTAGCGCATAGTGGGTGTTCAAGAAACGTTTGCTGAATAAATGGATGTGGCTCTGGAGGCTCAGGAAAAGGGGAAATCAGCAAGAGGGGTGTGTGTGTGTGTGTGTGTGTGTGTGTGTGGCGGTGGCCGAGGCGGCCCTGGGAATACAGGAACCAGGTGGGATTCACACACACAGAACCTTCTAGAACTTGAGGGGTATTACAGGCTCCCTTCTGACTCTGGGCCCCAGCCCTTTAAAGTGCCCTCGGTGGGGAAAGAGAACGGAACCAGGATTCAAGGGTTCTCCGAGGTGGAAGGGGTCTCAACTCTGGATAGGGAACATGAAGAGAGGTCTGGGAAGCGTGTGTGGGAACACACAGCCACCGAGCCCCCCGCTTGTCCCCATCCGCTGCCCAGGTGCCCGTGTTCTTCCCCTCCCCCCCGCCCCCAGCCCCTGCCTCCTCCGCCAGGCACACCTGGACTCTCCAGGGACCCGGCTGAAGAGAGGACAATTACTCTTTTCCCGGTCCAACCGAAACAAGGGTGAACTTTTTCCAGAGGCCCTCCGTTGGGAAAGCGGAGAGAAAACAAACCCAGAAATAAAGACTACAAAAACAAAGAAGCAGATGGGCCAGCGGGGCGCCCACAGTCCCCTTGCTGATGGGCCCCCCTCCCCTTGCTCCCAGCACCTCTGCTCTGCGATGCCGGTTCCCACCCAGCCTTGCCATTCCGGGCCTGTTTCTGTCTACCTCTCCATCTCGGCCGCGAGCTTCTCAAGGCCTCTGCTGTGGCTCCCCTTGGCTTTGCCCGTGGGGGAGAGCCCAGCACAGTGGCTCACAAGGAGTCGAAGCCCCAGACATTTGCCAAGTAATTGAACCAGCAGGGCGGGGAGGCGGGGTGGGGGGGGGGGGGGGGTATGTGGGACAAGTAGGTGAGTGAGAGAGAGGGAAGCCCGGGCTTCCTCCGGGGTGGCCAGATCGCCTCCACGGAGGGCACCGCCCCTGCCTCTGGAGTTTGCCGTCCCCGGGTCACTTGCATCCACAGGTTGACGGAAGGCTTCTCCTCCTGTCTCAGAGCCCTAACCTGCCATCCCTCAGGAAACAACCCAGGCGGGCTTCGTGGGCAACCGGGAAGGGCCGGGTTCTGTCCTCTGGGGAGGGAAGGGTGCTGGAGATGGGATTCAGCAGAAGAGCGCACGGCAGTCCCGAGGCCAGGACACGGAAAAGCAAGGCCAGACAATAACAAGCTACCAGGCACTGAGCATTTGGATTCTCAACACCACCCTGTACTTAGGGCTGTGAAGGAAACCTAAGCTCAGAGAGGCGGAAAGTTTGTCCAGTGAGCGAAAGTTCTAGGATTCCCTCTCCAGGCATTCTGGACCACGCTGCCCCGCGGCCTCTGCAGGGGACAGACCATCCTCCCGCGAGGGAGCTGGTGTTTGGTGGGGGGGGGGGGGGCGGCAGCAAAAAGAGTGCGGGCCCAGCCAGCTGGCAGGGCAGGGTGATGGGGTGAAGGCCCCTGCGGGTGGGCACTCGGGCCCAGGGCGTTGGTGCTGAGGATGTCAGCCCCTGAGCCAGATGTCCCAGAGCGAATGTGTGACGTCTCTCCCAAACAAGTGCCTTCCCTCTGGACCCTGATTTGAGTTAGCTTTATGCCAGCGTCCCTCCCCCATCTGCAACCTTCCTCCCTCACGGTGACGTGCCATCAGTCGCCAGATCCCGAAATTCCACCTCCCCAAGATCTTCCTCATCTGCGCTCTCCCCTCGTTGTCGTTGCCACTGTCTTGTCGCACACCCTCACCACCTCTTGGCGAAATTATTGCCAGGACCTCCTCCTTGTCTCTCCCTTTCAGGGTAACACCCCCGCCCACGCGCACACGCATACCCCGCAGTCAAGTGAGCCTTCCCGGACCACTACGCCCCTGCTCAAAATTTGGAAACAGCTCCATATTGCTGGTAGCGATATGTCTCGAACTTGCTGGGTGGTAAAAATACAGATTCCCACTCCCTACTGCCCTCCTGTGTCAGAATTTCCAAGAGATGTGCCTGTTCTTCTGTATTTTTTTTTTCAACGTTTATTTATTTTTGGGACAGAGAGAGACAGAGCATGAACGGGGGAGGGGCAGAGAGAGAGAGGGAGACACAGAATCGGAAACAGGCTCCAGGCTCTGAGCCATCCGCCCGGAGCCCGACGCGGGGCTCGAACTCGCGGACCGTGAGATCACGAGATCCCGCGAGATCGCGAGATCGTGACCTGGCTGAAGTCGGACGCTTAACCGACGGCGCCACCCAGGCGCCCCAGTTCTTCTGTATTTTTAACAAGCACCCCAGGTGATTACTACCGTGAGAGCCTTTTAAGAAACACTGGGATTTAGAACTCCCCCCCCCCCCCCGGGAAATGGCGCCCCCACCCATCTCCAGCGTGGGCTCTCGTTTTTCTTCTTTGCCCCCCCCCCCCCCCGGGTGCTCCAGGCCTCCTGTGGGCCTTCGCCCACATGGCTCCCTCTACGGCACGTGCTCTGTCTGGTTCTCTGAGCCAGAATCCTCCCTATCAGTCAAGGCCCAACTAGAAGGCCACCTCCTCCGGAAGGCCTCCTGATTCTGCCGGCTGAGAAGCACCCTCCCCCTTTTCTGAGTTCCCACCGCCCTATAAACCAGTGGCTTCTGCACGAGCCAACCCGGCGCCCTGACAGCCCAGAAGTTCCTCGTGCAGGTTCTGGAACCAGCCTCCCTGAGTTTGAGCCCCAGCTCTCCTAGTTGAGTAAGCTCCACAGGGTCCTTGTGCTTCTGTTTCCCCCTCCAGAAAACAGATTCGTTACGAGGACCCAATTAAGTAGCGCACGGAAACCGCCGGAGCAGCGATATGGTGCCTCAGTAGCTGTCACTCTGACGAGCTAGAGAGCCCAGGGACAGTCCGGCTTCCGTGGCTTTCAATCCTGCCGCACACGGAATCATCTGGGGAGCTTTTAGAGGACACTGATGCCTGGGCCCTCCCTCGGACCCGTTTAAATATGACCGCTGGGGGAGAGGGCCAGGCGGGAGACAGTAACACAAGGGTCGGGGTGAGAAGCCCTACCCAGTCAGCCCCGCACTGTATTGGCAGGCCAAGGTCACAGCAGTTAATGGCGGGACCGGTCCTGCGTGGCGAGCCTCTGCCCTCACCCCAGTTCACCCCGAGCTGGAGCAAACGAACAGGAGTCCCCGAGGGCTAGAGGCTGGCCTTGGGCAGAGCCAACTAAGGTGACTAGGTGGCATGAGACTTGGGCAGAAGGGCCGTGAGGGCGGGAGGCTTGTCCGCCCCGGCTGGCACAGTATCCGGGCATAGTCCCCGCACAGCACCT